AATGTGTTGGCAAGAATGTGGAGAAATAAGAACACTTGTATACCCTTGGTGGGAATGTAAATTAGTACAGCCATTATGGAAACCAGGATATGGAAGTTTCTCAAAGACATTAAAAATAAGACTACCATATGATCCAGGAATTTACGTACTTGGAGTAAATCCAAAGGAAATGAAATTAGTATGCCAAATGAAATTAGTAACCCCACATTTACTACGGCATTGTTTATAACCACCAAGATCTGAAATTAACCTAAGCATCCACCAACAGATGTATGGATAAGAAAATATGGCATATATGCACAACCAAACGCTATTTGGTCTTTCAAAAGAAGGAAATCTGTCATTTGTAATAACAATGATGAATCCAGAAGATGCTATGTTTAGTGAAACTAGTCAGGCACAGAAAGACCTCACCTATATGGGGAATCTAAAGAGTTGAATTCATGGAGGGTAGAAGGGTGATTTACACCAGCTGGAGGGGGGAGATGTGAGGTAAGGGCTTTAGGAAATGTTGTCTAAGGATATAAAATTTCAGTTAGGAAGAATAATTCCAAGGGATCTACTGTGCAACAACGTGACTGTAGTTAACAACAATGTATTGTATTCTTGAAAATCCTGAGTTTAAGAGCTTTCACAAAAAAAAAAAAATTAAGTGGAGGTAATGCATATATTAATTAGCTCCATTTAAATTTTCATTTATTGGGATTTGTTACCATGGACAACATTGCTAAGCGCTCCACAAGAATTTCCTCATTCAGTTAATAGGGGAAGAAATTGATATCTTAGCACATTAGGTAATAACAAGATTGTATTACATATAAATACTCATTACACAGAAAAAATCAGTAGGAGTGTGTGAACCCAAACAAAAGCTATTTCAGTTTTGAATGGGATTTATGAGACTGAGTAGTTCCGGAGAGGAAGGTGGATGACAATCGATTTTGGCAGCTAGACTGATTGGAGGAGGTGGCAGGGAAATGAACAGGTGAAACACTACTACTGTGTGGAAAGATAATAGGAAGTGTTGCAGGGAAATGTACAGGCGAGGAACACAATTCAGATGTGTCTCTGAATTGCAATGGAGTCCCAGTACACAAATGTACCCCTGAAAATTGTGTCATTCTTTTGAGGTGTTATCAACTACTAGATTCTGCACACTGTTTCTACATATCTGGAGGGCATTTTCATCCATTTTGAGGGAATTTGTCCCACATAAGTGTCCCTGCACTTATGTGGGACAAATCCTCCTGAGGAATAGCAACTCACCTTTAATACAGACCTCCCGAAATCCAGCTGAGCAGACCGTGCTTCTTGTTAAAATTTCTACTACATGTTTTAATTCCAAACCTAAATTTCATTATCCTTTCACAATTTGTACAAGAAGAAAAACTTGAATAACCATAAACAAGCCAAGATAACATCTCCAATACCAATTATTCCATTGAGCTCAGCGATATGCTTTGGGTTTGTTAACACAATATTTTAGCTGGCCCAGAAACCCACAGTGTTTATTTACAGCATAAATCATCTAGTTTCCTTCTCTTTTTCCTTTTATGTTGAAGGTTAAGTAGGTAGGCAAATCAATGAAGAGAGCAACAGAAAATAGGAAAAGCGATTGTACAGATTCCTAATTCCCCTTGCACCACTGGGCTGAACTGAATAGCAGATTTAAGAATCACGCAGAACTGATAGATCATGCTTAGGTGATGATTTTTTTGCTAATTGAAAGAGTGCATACAGTTTTGAGATGTCTTGTTTTAAAATCCCGAAAGCCATACTTTAACAATACATGATGTAGAAGATCGGACAGGAAGGTTCAAAACCTGGCTGAGTAGCATAGTATCTGTGCTTCAGGTTTCCATTCATAAAACAGGGAGAATAAAAGCCCCCTCCTCTCAGGGTGTTTGTCAGGATTCGATGTGAAGTGCTTGCGACAGTGACTGGTACATCGTAAACATTATATAAATGTCAGGCAGTGTCATCGCCATTATTCCAACCCCATGTTCATTGTTTAGGAGACAACATCTCCACATTATACTGGCATCAGCCCAACAGAGAACCAAATGCCATTTCATTACCTCTATGAGAGCCAATTCCTTCATTATCTCATATAGTGTGTGTACTGCATGCCAAACCGTACACTATTAGGGCAGCAAAATGTCCTATCCTTCCAGAGTTGTAGGGGAATGGCAGACAACAGGTAAACTCATAAAGGAATATCAGGGAGTGAATGGTGAGTACTATAGAGGAAGCTAAAGGAAGGTAGAAAAACACAAAGTGGCCTTTTTTTCTGTCCCCAGATTCAGCCTGTTTGACAAAAAAAAAACTTAGTGCACGTTTTTGCTTTTCCTTCGAGAGGAATTCTCAGACTGTCATTCTAGGTAA